CGTCTGAAGGGTGGGGGTGATCAGACACTGATAGGGTTTGACAGTGCAGTTAAAATACAGGTATGTACAGTTCAGCAGATATGCCTCTTCCATTTATTATCATTAAACACATCCTTCCACTTCTGTGCCGGACAGGATTAGATGAATTTTAAAAATCTTCCAGGATGTATGTTGACAGTTTCTGACTCCTGACAAAACAATAATATAGCAGTTATATGGGACAGTAACAGCGCAGGTTCACATGGATGCACTCAGGTTTGTGTTAGGATTTATTAGGCAAACCATGGAACAACAAACATGCCCCCTAAACCACCAGTGTGTCGACAGTCCGACCACATCGTGTACATATGCTATTACAATCGTCACTCAGAACGTGATAGGCTCTACAGGTTAGAGGCTAAAGGAGAGGATAACTTGTTTAACAAGCATTCGGCAGATTACAGCAAACCCGCTCATGTTCAATCAACAATCCGGCTTCAGTAAACCAAATTCTACGGATTTTACGAGATTGATCCACGTGGGATTTATGGTGCATAGTTGGTCTTCATCACATTGCCTTGAATACAATCTCCTGTTCGTCACAAAGTTCAGAACTGTTCTTTAGGTGTGAATATGAAACGAATTGTTCATCTTGCTACACTGCTAGTACGTCATTAAATTGTTCTGAAGCTACTAACGTGATACAGACAAGAAAGAAAGGATAGACAGCTAGGTTCTTTACGAGGCTCTGATGATGGAGGCAGCAAGCACCTCTGATACGTCGTGAAACTTCTACCAGACTACAAGGCGCAACAACCCGGAAGACGGTCTCACAAGAAAGGAGATAATTGATTCAGGCAGGAAGAAACTATTCCCCTTCGAATTTTAAAGGGACTTTTACGTTAGTGTAAACATGGAATTGATTGGATGATTGTTTATTCATGAAGAAGAGTTATAGATTGAAAGTATCTCACAAACAACGGCCGCCTGTGTCCTAATTTGTCTTTACAGGTGAAATTTGCGAGTTGAATTGTTCAATTGTTAAAGGAAGTTAAGGTTTTGATGAAAGTTTTTATTTGTGAATGCGAGTAATAATATTTAGTTTTTGTTAATGCTTTGCAACCATTGTAGGAAGCTGAATCGTAGATAGGGTACTAGCTGGATAAAAACTGTTCAGAAAATGTATGAAATCTGAAAACTGTGACACAGAGTGGTAGAAAGTAAGTCTGATACCACCCACACATAGAAAATTATGGCTATGATCTTATGTTCTTGCCTTATGGAGCATGATATCCTCCGTATATTTGCTGCTTAATTAGAAGGATTATACTCTATTTTATATAAATTCATTGCACATGTACGTAGATCTGTTTATTTAGTTTGATTGAGGATTTATTTTATTTTGTTTTTTGTTTCGCATTTGGTAAACATGATATACTCCACATGTCCGCGATATTAATGAAAAAGGTTATGCTATATTTCATTTAAATTTCTTTTATATCACTGTGTTTATTTAGTTTGATATGGGATATATTGTATTTTGTTTGTTATATGGTAAATATTGAATGTCAAGGATTCAAGTCAGTGGCCTGCGTAGGCTTTGTTAAACAACTCTTAAAGATAAAGTTCTTTAATCACACCTTAGTCTCGTTTTTCTAATGCATTTTTGAGTTTGGGATTTTTTTTTATTGTTGGTCTTGTAGGTGGCTATGTTGCGATGAAATTTCTCATAAGGGAATTTCGTTTAGGTCTTGGATGAATTCCGAGGCAGTTTGACTATCACTCGAATAAAGAAAGTAGTGTTCGTAAGATGGCGAGGGAAGCTACTGGCGGCGCTTCGTGTCAGCTCCAGAAATGATGCTGCGTTATTTGGAGAAGAGAAGAGAAGAGAAGAGAAGAGAAGAGAAGGGAAGGAAATAGTAAATAAATGCTGAGTAATAAATGGAAAGGATGAATACACACAGCAACGAAGACGAAGAAATCGTGAATGAGGGCGGGAAGACCAGAATTTAACGTTTCGTCTGGAGACAGAAAGACAGGGAATGAACTACTGGACGAAAAGTAGGGCGATGGCTTGAGACGAAGAAATAAGCGGAAAAGAATTCAAATAAAGAAGAGTTGGAGAGAGTAAGTTGGAAATTCGTCTAATTCGCCGACCTCCTCTTCCTCTTAGAATTTTCGCGTCAGCTGTGGGCGTGGCTTTAAGTTATTTCTGTCAGTACTACTAACTTGACATTGAAATATTGAGGAATGAAAATGATATTATAAGATCTGGAAACTAAATTAAATTTTAGATGTGCGTGTTATTGTTGGGAAAGAAAGCAGCGCGCTTGTGGTTAATGAAACGATAGTATAAGAACTGAACATACATCAAAGTCACCCCCTGTGTTTGTATGGACTAGCTGGAGGCGTTGATCCTCCTTTCGGCTGCCGTCGTCGAATGGACGTCGGCTGTGATGAAGACGTTTCAGGGGATCATACTTCCTTCATCATCAGGGATGAAGTAAGGAGTGTTATATAAGTAGGGATAGGCGGTGGATCAGGGCATGGGGATTGGATGACGAGGTTCTCTGATAGACTTCTGCTGCTCTTAAACTTTCTTGCTCTGTGGCTATAATGATTGTCCTGAGTACATCATTAAAACGGAATTTAAGAGGTAATACCACTTAGATGATCGTACGATTAGTTTATAGGGCCCTTGGGATTGGCTTGGTACCTGGAAAATTCGTACAGAATATTTAATGAATTATTGAATGTGAATTCTCCGATCTACCCGTTTGCACGCCCCAAAATTTTTTTGCGGTGGTTCGCCAGACTTTGGTCAGTCCCGACTTAAGACTCATAAGCATTCTTACAACTTATGGACTTAAGAAATATTTAAGGTTTGGCTAAAAATTTAGATACGAATTAGCATAAGGTACCATACCTGAAATTTTAATCTGTTTTGTTGGTATTCCTATGATAGCTTATTTTTTTAGTTTTTTTGAGGTTAGTATAAATTTTTACACATTTTGATTCCCTGATATATCAAAATTCCTGTTTAAATATGTTATTTCGCGTAAAATGGGATTTTTTTAGAGTGATTATGAAGTTCGCTGTATTTCACTATGTTCAAAGTATAAAATACTTCTAGTTTATATTTCGACAAGTTGAAGACGTGTTCATAGTTATAAATTTTTTGGTATATTCAAAGGCTCTAATAATAATAATGATATGTTTATGTAAAGTCAATTTTCAGATCTAGTAATGCTTATCAAAGGAAAGAAAACTAGTGAGGAATTTGCTGTAAGCAATTCAAACCTCTGTCAAATTAGAAGTGACTGTGATTTTATTTTATTTTTTGAGTTTCCTCTCATTCTTTCCAGACGAAATCGACGGTGATGCGTGCAAATGTTAACCAGCTGGTTGGAAATCCAAACAAAGTTCTATAACATTTTTTGAACATTTTAATTTGTGTTATGTGTTGAACCAGAGCTTCGGCAGTGTGTGAAGCTTGCGATTAGGCATAAAGAAGTAATGTTCCGGGTCCAACACATTGTGCGGATTGACAGTATATATGTATAGGCGTAGATATCAATCCCTGAGCTAATCCAGCCATGTAGCTGGAACATGTTCTGTCATCGGGCTGTTGCTCCGTCGTGATGGCTTTGTTAATTCAATGCTTCCATCCCACCCCACTTCGTGTAACATGTGTAATTCCTACATATGACTGTTTGGACGAGTCCATGGTAACCCAGTTGTTTGCAGATGATACATAATCCAGACTGTTGCTAGGTAGCGGATTATGCCTATTTTTATGCTGTAATGATGGATGCGTAAAAATTACTGACGTCATTTCGAGCAGAAATATGTGGTACTTTAAAAAAACTGTTCTGTAATGGCCAAAGTTTGAAGGTTTCTAACGCGTATGTGTTGTGATATGTAAAATTGTTATTTTGTACGATGTTCATCATTTAAATTATAAAATTAAAACGTTTCGGAAGATGGATTCTCCTTTCGTCTTCAGGTAAAAGAGTGAGAAGAGAAGAGAAGTCCTATCTGTTGGGCCCCCTTGGTTAAGCTGCTTGATCTACGTCTCAGGCCAGCTTAAGAAAGGGCACAGCAGATAGACTTTTTATTCTCCTCCCAGCCCCACCGTTTTAACCGAAAGACGACAGCGAAGCCCAGCTTCCGAAAAGCTGTACTTTGGACAAAGTCCGAAGGAAGAAATTTACATATTAGTCCTATAATGGGATGGTAACTGATGTACAGATTCAAAGGCTTCATAAAGATGAATAATGGACTATTGAAACGAGTCACTTCATTATTCTAGTTTAAATATGATTTTACATATACCAAATATTGAAGCTTCACGTTTCAGCATCACAGTAGATTAATTTTAGCGGGATTCTGCCTAGGTAAATTATTACATCAGCTGAAGATTTCTGTCTTCTGGGTTGTTGCGCTGTGTAGTCTGGTCGATGTTAACCAACGTTTCAGAGGTCATACTGCCTCCGTCATCAGGGCGATGAGTATGAAGATTTCTGCCTTCTGGGTTGTTGCGCTGTGTAGTCTGGCCGATGTTAACCAACGTTTCAGAGGTCATACTGCCTTCGTCATCAGGGCGATTCATGCTACACAGCGCAACAACCCAGAAGACGGAAATCTTCATACTCACCGCTGTAAAAACCTCAAATCTTACATAATACACTGTTTACTTAAGTACAGTCATGTAACACATGTCTTGTAACAAACCGGAGTCAACTCACCTTTGCACAGTGGTATACGTTCATCTGTTTATTAAATATACTGTATATTTAAAATAAATATGCAGCTTCTGTGTCCTCCTATCAGTTTTAAAATTTCCTTATGAGATATAAATTTGCTTTAAAAAGTAACCTTGACTGATTAGCTACTGTGTGTTATATTCTGTATTTCAAGACGTTGATTCACGAATTTGTGTAGCTGTTTCTGTGCATGGCCGTTTTGAAAGCAAAATTATCATTAGTAATAATAACACTTGTGTTTGTGGCTGTTTTCAGTTTCCCCAGCGTGGTTATGGCGAAGGGACAGGTTACCCAGGCCCACCCCGGGGGCGAGTAAGGGTGAGTACCTCATCAAACAAACAGAATTCTGAATGTAGTATTTGCTGGAGGAACAGTGGCTCAAGACATATTTATCTGTATAGATTATTATTACATATTTCCAAATATTCGTTCAATATTAAGCGTTTCGGATTAGCGTTTCTTTTTTAACTTCGCTACAATCATGGAACACACATGTTGCTAAAGATTTATCGATTGCATTCACTTAATGTAACTCATATTTCGGTTTGTCTCCAGTGAAACAGTCCTCTGGTGAAGCAAGCAAACAAATTTCACTAAGTCAGGTTACACAAAAAAGCGCATTTCATAAAACGTTTATAGCTGATATGAATTGTTCTAAAGAGATTACTTCTTTAATAGATAAAACGCTAATCTTTTGAACTACGTAGATGTTTTGCAGACTGCAGCCTACATTATCATCTCTTTCATTTAAGAACAGAGCTGTACGTGATAATTCTCTGTAAATTCGTTCTGTTATCCCCAGTTTTACAGTTTTTTCTGGTTTAATTATAATGTGACCAAACCACCGTAGTAATACTTCATAACGAAATTTGTCTTCATTAATATTCTTTTCGTTAATTTCATTTTAAGATATTCGTTGTCATACTCCATCAGCTATCTGAGAAAAATTAATTTATAGTAGGACGCTACAGAAGGTTATTAAAAGCAACGATTTTGAACAAGGAGGAATACTACTGTTTAAAATTTCCCACAGAGTTCTTTAAACTGACCCGTTCAACTGAGAATTTGTACAATGACATATGACAACGTAATATTAAGAAATATTTATTGCGAATGAAATTTATTTTTTCGCGATTACTACTCGGTCATTTTAACATGTTAAGAAATTACATAGACTCTCTATTTTATTTTCAGGTTTAGACTATAAGAAAACACAAAAATTAATACAGAAATGCATGTGTTGTTTAGTTAAATACTATTTTTATTGCTTCTTTAAATCGGTAACTGCAATTTATCATTTTGAGCAGCAAGACTCAATAGACCAATATGCATTTTATGAATGTAGTTTGCTGTGACCCAAAACCCGTGTCATATTTATCAACTCGAAGTTGTAAACAGATATTTGGTACCACATGTTCCGCTCAAACTCTATCTGGCCCGCTATGCAACTTCATAACATTCCAAAGGATTCTTCTCGCCGTATGGTCTACGTTCGTTTAGCCAGCTTATATGTAGTTGTATAAAAGTTGAAGAAACTTAATATTTGACCACAGGATTTGTTTGCATTATAGTGAGAAATATGTTTCTTGTGATGGATTTTAGTTGACTGATTATCCAAACGTTGTACAAACATAATTTCATAGATAAACATATTTTATCGAGACAGCAATTTTTGTAGGCTACTAAGTGCAAAACGTAGTGGGCCTGTGCACATCAAGTACTGGAAATGTAAACAGGATTTTTACAGCTTATGACCAAATTTCTGTTACACACAAACGATGTGTGTGATCTCATATAAAATATTTGAGTATGTCGATGTTTGGTCTTATGAATTGTTATGCCATGTTGACTAGGAGGAATGTACTTCCCTCATCTTCAGTACTGAACTAAAATGTATTTAATGGGGATTAATAAAATTTGCCATGTTTCAGATTTGGTTAATATCTGACAGTCGTGAAGTTGGAAACAGTTTGTTTCACCGAAGCTTAGGAATCTATCGACGTGTATACACGGCGCCAAAATTCAGAACATCGTCAATAAATTGACATTTTACGTAAAGGCCTGCATGCTTTCCCGCGCGCAGAAATGGCTGCGTGTGGAATTGCTTTGTCATCAACAACTTGCGAAAATCTGATTTTAGCGTACGTGACGAAGTTGTTATGCTTTCCAGCCTTGTTATAATACGTCGTGTTTACTGTACTTAAATTGTTTATCTTGTCTCTTGCCTGTGTGACTACGCAGATTCAAAATAATCAGATAGAGTATTCATTGCACAATAACAAAATAGGCTTATTTGTCCATACGTTCTTGTTTCGTTGTTATTAATATGTTTGTCAATTAGCGAATCATTTATTTAATTGGGAATTATCGTCATAATATCTAAGCAATTTCATTAATGTCGTCGCATTTGTATAATAAGGGTTGCAGATCCAGTGGATTCTAAATATGTATGGAAGCTATTAATAATGCTTTTGAGTCTTCGTTTCTGTGTTGTGTAATCTGCTCTTTGTTATGGGAGATAAGCCTCTCTAAGTGATATGCCATAAAGGGCTCATCCACATTGAATGCCTTTGTCAGCTAGCAGTATTACTGCACTAATTAAACAGCTGTTTAATTTTGCAAAAACACGTTTAATAATTATTTTGAAAAATATTTGTATATCATAATGTCACATGCTGTCTTGCTTACCAAATATTGTAAAATTCCACATTTCTTAGGAAAGCAAGCGCTGACACCATCCACATGCAATATATGAGTCGTAATTATAGAATATTCGATCTAAAACTGAAATCTAACTGCTGCATATGAACTCCTTCCCTGATGCACTGCTTGGAATCGACACTGCCGTCATTTCCGATCATTTGTCTCTCTATGAATACTTGTCACAGGCAATTCCTCTGTCCAAAAATTTTGTTGCCAGTCGTTGTGTTGTCTTATTCGCTACAATGCTAAATGCTCACGAACAGCAGAAAAGGACTTCGATGCAATGTAATGTGTTTATGTGTACTTAATTATGATGGCAGGATTCAGTTTCTACGTTTCTTGTCAGCTGTAAGGCTAATTTGTTATCTTATTTTATGTTAGTTTTGTGTTTTAATGAAACAGGAATCTGAAATTTGTCTCGAGAACAGTTGTGTCGTCTTATCAAATAAATACCGTATTCATTGGTCATATTCCGTGATATCATGTGTTCGACGCGTCTGTATTAATAAGAATGTTATTACGAAACTGTAACCGCATTAAATATATATGTCATCGATCTGCTGAAATAACATATTCATAATTGGAGGAGAAGAAACGCCAGAACGGAGACTTTGGTTCGCAAGGAAAGAGGAAGCAGAATGGAAATTTGGGCGTAGCAAAGGGGTTTCTTCTGGCTTCTTTATATTCCTTTTGCATGAGTGCTCTCATACTTAGAAATGCTGATATTGCGTATAATTTATTTCAATCTCAGCATGCTCCTATTGTTAGTCGTATTTTGGTTTAATATATCGTGTAAGCGCTTTGTTATATTGCGTGCTCTTTCGAGGACATTTACAAATGAGAACAAATGAAATCTTCATTCGGAAAGAATGTTTAAACAATAACACAAAACTTTTGGTTTTTTCTTATGAAGCTGTAATTGGTATATAAATACTTGTATTGTCTTTCTGAAACGGACCTAATTCTTCTCTTTGGAACAAACAGCTTGAAGTTTTTTGAGAACCACTAAATAGCTCTAATTGCTGCTTAAAACCTCGAAGAACTAGAAGTCTGTATCTGTGTATTTAATTGCAAGATTTAAAATTTCTTGTTGTTTGATGTTTCAATGCACTACCTAGGACTATATATTGGAGGTTCTCGGTTCAAATCTCGACAGGAGAAAATACCTTCCTGATTGAGGTGTTTAATAGTTCAGTCCCTCCGAATTATTTTGTGGAAACAGAACACGACTTTCTCTTTTCTGTAATTTCCACTACAATATTCGTCGCGCATGTGTACACTTTCCAGTCGATACAACGTCCCTAATTCACCTTCGAAATCTGCTGTTAGGTCTACCTGTTTGTTTCTTGTTTGGAGGGTCGAGATTAAACCCAACATATTCCGAAGTCGTTCATGTGACATTTCCGCTTTGGTTTCCACGTCAACATTTCACTTTTTCTGAGATATGTTAAAAATATGCTATGACGTGGCGAAATAATGCATGTTACGTTGTGTAAAATAATCATGGTATAATGTAATTATAGTTCAGCGATCAACACTGCGTGCTTATACAGTTTAAATTTATTATATTATCGTAAGTTAACTAATCCTTACACGACGTTCCAAAATATAACCATTTCCCGAAACGTCGCGTGTACATTAAATATAAATATGACGATAGAAACTGTCCAACGCAGTAGACTTACAGTGTGTAGTTATTCCACTGTTACCGCTGTACGTCAAAAGGTTTGTTTGTCTACATTAGTGGAGAATTAATCAGGCAGCAACTAAGTTTTCTTTATAAAATAATCATAACATAAAAGAAAGATTTTCACTGAATTAAGTGGCTTGGAAGTAACGCTGAAACATCGCTAACTCCTGCAGGCGACAAATTGGAAATATTTATAACGAGTTTGTATGTTCTAGGTAAATCGTCTGTGTTTGAAAGGCTTTGTATGGTAATTATCTGGAGAACGGGTTGCCAAAATGTTCTACAAAGAGAAGGCTTCTTTCAACTAAGTTTTAAAGAAGCGAGGTCAAGCGAAATCAGATTATGAAAAGGAAATATATCAATTATTAAAATGGCAGCGATGGTTGAGTAATAATAAAGCCGCATCGGCTATGATGAAATTGGTCTGCGAACACCACACCGCGTTATTCAGTTCCTGGGA